TCAACTGCTTTCACATTCTTTTTCGTTGGATGATGCAGCACTGGTTTTGAAGCCTGAAACAATTTTCCCCGAAAAATTCCTTAGTTTTTTTGAAAGAAGTGAAAGACCTGCAGTGGAACGTCGTACACAGTTTTCAAAAGGAAGGCGTGCCTCAAAATGGGCGCCGCTCGGCCAAAAGGTGCCCAGCTTTTGATCTGAAGATGATGCCGAAGGTTTCTTTTTTGAAAAAGTGCAATAAACTGAGATATGGAAAATCAGAATTAGCTAGAAAAATGCTAAAATCAGCTAAGTAGAGGAGCAAAATTCCTCGCAGCGGGGCCAAGTCCTGGTAGGATATTCTAAATTTCACTCAAAACCGTACAGCAAGATACAAGAAACATATAACTCAGTTTTAAAATTAAACCAAGGAAAAAGGAGCTGAAGAGACAAAAAAACCTTATTTTTGCGAGAAATGACGCTAACTTTGAAGACTGTAAGACCAGATCAAAATCCAAAAGATTTAAACTACAAAAATCACACCTATTCATTTTTCCAAGTCATAAACACAAATCTTTCTGAGGCTCACAATGCGACAATTTACGAAGAAAAATCATCCTACTGTAATGCTCGCAAAGATTCTCCTCAGAATTAGGATAGCCTAAAACGGTCCCAACCAAATTTTTATTGAAAAAATTGACTCACATCAACAAATGTTTTATTTATGGCAGCTATTTGTGATGCACGATCTCTGTAAAGAACTTCGGTGAGGAACTTTTTCTTTGTGCTGTAGCCAATCTGAAATTTTAAACATTAAAAGCAACACAATTAACTCAACAAAGGAGTTCAAGCGAAGAGGGAACGGCAAGAGAGGAGAGGCCATCGCTCGTCCTGGCAAGATCCCACGACAAAGTTATGAGTTCCAGTCCTGCTAAATTCAGTAAATTTAGCACGTCAATAGCTGTTGTTTTGAGTTGTGAATTTGAGAAGACAACGTCGAAACAAAAAAAATTTTGTTTTTCCAGATGTGCCGAAAATCCAAATGGGAAAGACAAAAGAGCTGTATGAGTAATTCAGTGAAAAATTGGGTTTTAAAGGTAAATTTTGCTCATTCGCAGTAAATTGAAAAGGGGATCAAGTAATGATCACCAGATTCGGGAGCGTTCTCCCTCGTTCAAGAGAACTGGAAAGAACACTATTATATAAGCTGAATTTGAAAATATGGCGCGATTTCTTGAACCCTTGGCCTTTCTGCCGCCTGCACAGAAGTCGGAGAGGATGGAGAGAAAAAAGCACCAACCTTTGTTTCTTGCCTTTCAGCTGATACACCAAATCTCGTAAATTCTGAACTGATATACTCAGTTTTTCTCATCCATGGGACCATTTTGCAGTGTTGCAAAGATCTGTAAAATTATCCCAAAAAAATGCTATTTTGCATTCCCACAGTAAAATGCTGAAAAATTTACGAAAAACGCGAAAAAGTACGGCGAACCTGCGCAGGTTCTGCTGACTTGTCTGCTCATCTTCCAGAAGTTCGAGATCAGTTGGATGATGCTGCAATGGAAAAAACCCGGCTTTTATCGAAAAATTATAAAACTATTTAAAAAAGCTCAAGAATACAGGAATGAATGCTCGATTTCTTCATTATTTTCTAAACCATTCGTAGCCTCGATGTGGAGCTGGCGATGTTACTGGGCTCAGGGGCTCGCAGCTTTTCAACGACTCCTCAAAACTTATGTTAGCTTGTCAGCGGTTTCCCGCATTAAATCACTAGTGTTCAATAAACTGAACCTTGTTCTGGGCATCCCGATCAACGTAATATGTTTCAGGTCTGATCAGATCAATATGGACGCCACAGTCCGGCTCACAGAACACATCAAATTTGAAATTCTTCTCCAAACTAGACAACTTGTAGTCCGTGAATCTGGAAAAAAAAGAAACCTTAAAAATTCCATAAATGTAAACTGCGGTAGGATGCTTCCTCAAAAACTCAGAAATTCTATAAGTATAAAATGCGGCTTCTGATAAGTGGTAGGATGGTTTCTCATTCTTAACATGTTGTCCTTAAGCGATTTCTATTCCAGTTGACAAAGTGGAGGCGAAAGCATTGCAACCTATCAAAATATTCTTCCAGAATTATCTAATTTACTGGAAATTTGAGCTTCTAAAGCGAAGTATCGCGCTCTCTCCCCACTTGGTCACACTTTTCGTCATTCTTGAATGTTAATTCGACGAGGACGATATTTATGTAACTGTGCCATGTATGTAACTACGTAACATATATACAAACTCTCTGTATTTCATCCCCGAGCTGTAAACACAGGCAAATTAGTGGAAGCGAGTAGGAGTGAGCGTTATCAGCACAGCTTCCCATTCACCACGTAGGAAATATGCTTATTTGAATTAAAGACAATACAGCATCCAAATCCTCTGCACGGATATGAAATTCGATGAAGTATCAATATCATTCAAGGAACTGTTTCATAACAGACAGAAAAACGAAGATTTACTGGCCTGAAAATATTCGTGCAAAACAAGACAGTGGGTACCTGCTAAGTGAAACGAGCGGACACGTCAGGAACTTCGTATCAAATGGAATGTCCGGTAAAGTATTGCTGTATTTCACGCGACATAAAAAATCGGTTCTCCTGGAAAATAACAACTTCCTTAATGGACGGAACTGCTAGGACTGAGGACAGTGAACAGAAAAACGAGGAAACAGTGACAAAAAGTTTTGGAGGTGAAATAAAACTAAACATCGAAAACAGTTTGGGGTTAAAGTTGAGGCACGAAATTCAACTAGGACAAGTGTAAAATTAAGCAAAATGGAGGTGAAATACGATCAAAGAATGTAATTCCAGTCCAGGAAAATCAAACTGCATTAAGGAAAGAAAGAAACAAATAGCCGCGCACACCAGAGCAGCCGGTGCAATCATGCGTTTCGTGCAATTCCGTTCACCGAAAGATTGCCTGCTAATGATTTTCACTGATATGAATTTAAATTTGAAGGGCTGTATGTGGGTAAGGGACAGTTCCCCGAAATTTCAGCTTCCTAGATTCCGCGGTTCCCGAGACAATAATTTACCTTCCAAAATTTTCACGGATCCGTACGCGTTACCCGTGGGTACGGGGAAGCTGAATTTAAATTTGCGGGGTCACACGTGGGTGGGG